CTTTAATCTGGGATATGTCTACCATTTAAGTGTTTTACTGAAGCATGAGTATTGCGTAAAATTGTTGTAGAACGTTTAAGTAATCTCAAAACACTTAAATCATATTACTTTATGTATAATCTAATACGTTCATCTCAGCTGTGAATGAATCTCTCTATCACATATGTTCCCCATTAATATAGTTTACATCATCTTATATTGAATTATATATTTTCCTAATATAAACTCCCCACAAATCAAACAAACGTTTAAATGTTAATAGATCGAGATTCTATTCCTAAAAATGTAATGTTATGTGAAAGTATTAAACTGGTCTGAAGTACAAATCAATTGTCATAATATGCGTGAAAGGAAACTGGGACACTCCAGACTCGATTTAGAGACATTTTGAGACCTGTAGATCGTTGGGCGCTTCCGGCCATCGCATATAGGAGACACCCCGAACCAGATTCTGAGAGATATGAATGAAATTTATTTGATACAATGTACTTTAAAAAAATATATGTAGAAACTCAATGTCTTTATTGTTTTGTAAAGCGACATATATTTTATATGAATATTTTGATTTGATATATTTAAACTCATATCTATCTGAATCAATGCTATGAACTTGGTCTTCTTTTAATTTTTATTTTTCATAATTATATTTTGTAAGGTAATTTAGAATCAAATTATCATGTTTTTTTTTTTTTTGTTTTTTTTTAATTTTTGCTTTTCATTTGTTATTAAGGGATATTAGAATAAAAATTCTTGAAAAACCCGGCAGTGGAGCCTGGTAACTGTTTTACTGACTCAAAGCTGAATTTAGCTTATTACCATATAAATTACCATGCAATTATTTCAATTATTGTAGTTAGCTCAGTGCCAGTAGATTCGTGGTAATGTAGTTCAGCATGAAATACCAACAATGTTGTTCGTAATGTTGTAATGTCTCCACGGACATTTGTCAATATATCGTACATTATTTTTTGTACCTCCTTTCCAAAAATACACTGTAAATGACAATTTCCATGAAGCGATGAATGATTTATTCCAAATTGAATATGATTATGTAGATAAACTTGTGAAAAAAGAAGAGAAAACTAGTCTGTTTAAAATTCGAAAAGTTTAGAGTAGCATACGTAGAAATAAACTGTTTTCAAAATATTATTAAAAGGATTTTAGAGGCTATGTAGTTGAAAACATAAAATATAATATATTGTGGTGAGCAAATTTTTCATAGGCATCTCTGTGTCGTAACCGAGACTAGAAATTTCTTCAGGAAAGGGGGTTCAATCAATCGAAGTGTTGCCTTTAAAAGCAGGTCAACACTTGCAATGCGAATCCATCATAATAAAATTCCCAAAACTAATAATGGACCGTTGCAAGAATAGAAACTGGTAAATTAGTAATAATTTAATAATAATTATCAAAGAATGGAATTGAAAGCTGATTCGCCATTAAATATGTTTAGAATAACACCATAAGTTGTTTCATAGTGTTCTTTTGTGCAATAATTGTTTGTGAAAGGGCATTTTATTTCTAAAGCAAAATAAAGTCTTTGCCATGAAAACATTTCAGTTCTTTATCTATTTGATAGTATACATGTATTTTCATATTAACATATACATAAACAAATAACAAAACAACAAGAACTCATGAAAGATATGTAGACCTAACAACCAATTACTAATTCAAATGCATAAAATACTGACACAAACTTTAATACTGAATAACAATGTTTTATTTTTTTATTTTATTTATCTTATTTTTTGAAAAAAAAACCAAATATGACAGAATGACAAATAAGAACAAACTTTATTTGACAACTGACAAAATATTCTTACAATATAAAGCTAGATTTATCCATTAAGCTTGGTCTTTATAGTTAAATAATTCATCCAGTTTGTAAGCATTTGGTTGACAGTTATAGTACAGTATCACATTCAAGCAAATAATGAAATTCATCCCCAATTTACTTTTTATTACAGAGTGTACAGAATGTAAGACAAGATGACAATCTTTTTCTATAGGGAACTGGTTATTTGTATATATAGTTCCAAATTTACAAAAATATCTTATGAGGCTAGTTGGTTGTACATCTAAGTATTCTTCAAAATTGAATTCTTTAAAAAAAAAAGAGTACGAGATGTATTAATTGTACAAAAACATGTCATTCAATTTGAGTTTAATAATGTTTTTTTTGTTTTTTTTTTGTTTTTTTTAGAATGTAGTCATTTCTTAACATTCTGATTAATAAAATACTCAGAAAGAGAGAAAATGTGTTCTTCGTCGATATTAGCGACGCGGTACAATTTTCTGAATATATTTACGAAAGATGATGATGCTGATGATGATGATGATGATTATGATGATGATAATGATGGAGGTGATGCTGATGCTGCTGCTGCTGCTGCTGCTGCTGCTGATGATGATGATGATGATGATGATGATGATGATGATGATGATTAATATTAATTATATTGATAATAATAATGATTAGAAGAAGTAGAAAATCTTTGAATGAATAATAATATATATAATTATGATATATTGTTTCAAATAATATACTGATAAATCGTAAATAACCAACTTCAAGATCATAATGAATAATATTCATTTAATATATATGATATATTGTTTCAAATAATATACTTATAAATCGTAAATAACGCACTTCAAGATCCCACAGAGAGCCACTATGTGCATGTTGTCGTCTGCTAGAACTTATCTGATCTGATGCTCATCTCATGACTTATTACACTGAACTATACCTTGTATATTCTGTAAATACAATGCACATCTGCGTTGTTCCTATCATATGGTTTCTTTAATTCTTTATCATTTTGATCATGTGTGTGCCCCCTTTGAATCCATTCCGACTGTTGTCTGGAGGGTTTTTTTGGTTTATTTGCATTAAATCATGTATTTCCGGGCCACGTAAGTGTTATGTCATAAATTAAGCATTTGTTTGTTTGTTTTGCCATTATCTAAGAATTAATCGCTCTTTAACGAAAACTCATACTGAAACAATTACAAAAGCCATTACAGTTCGTCCCGTCACAATGCGGAGCCTCAACTTTAACCTGGCGTAAAGCAGCATTCGCAGACGAACAAGAAAACAATCTGTTCGCAAGCCTTTTTAACACACCCCTTCCCCTTGCCGCGCCAAAATACCCTCCCCCCCCCCCCCCAAAAAAAAAAAAACAGAACAAAAAATCAATAACAACGAGAAAAAAGAAAAATAAAAAATAATCAAAAAACAACAAAAAAACAAAAACAACAACAACAAAACAAGCAAACAAAAACCAAAATCAATGAAAATGTCTGATTTTCTCATGGGTATACTTCTTTTGCGACATAATCTATCTCTTTCATTATTGTTACATTGCATATCACTTGCCAAACGAACTCGCATTTTAGTGGCCGGAAGTAGCGCCTTTGAGTCCGAACGCAACGTCAGATAAAGAACTCCGAATTATTCCTTCAGAAAGCTTTATTCGTTGATTAAACAATCCAACACGTTTCAAGTTCTTTTGCATGCTATCTTGTTTCTCACAAAACTATTGAATCTTTATTTTCAGAAGCACACAAAAAAATCTAAAAGCATCTATTTAACAAAAGTCATGCAGATAAATAACGTTTGCCAGGTTTTTTTAGCTTTTTTTTTTTCTTTGTTTGATTGTTTTTGCTTTTTTTAAATCTTATTTTATTTTAATATAAGTGTACATATTTTTATCCCTTTCCCTTTATCCCTTGTTTGTTTAACACTATTTTTTTACAAGTCTCAAAATTCAATTTGATACCAAAATCGTTTACAAAAATTTCTTATTCTTCTTCCTTAATCATATAATAATCTAGGGGAGCGTCAAGTTTGCTTATAAATTTTGATAGTATTTAAATAATTTCTTACGTTGGTATGCAATTTTCAAGGTAACTGAATGTTTGGGGAGGTGTTTAGTGGAAGTGAGGTAGGACTTGGGCCTACGTTACGCTAAAATTAATGAAAGCCTAAATAAGAACATGCCTACAAGAACAGTGCTTTTTTTCAGTCATTCATTACAAGCATATTCTTTTTATTGTAATTATCATTTTAATTACTGGGTTTTGCGTCGCACCAACACAGTAAACATATTCTTATGTCGGGTCATGTCAAGCAAAACATATTTCCATTCTTCGGCGATATACATGATATACTGTGCAGACGTATGGAATGATACCTAATTCTCTTTTTGTTATCCAGATATTTGGCAACTTTTAGACTCATTCAATGATAAAGCCCACTAAGATTACTATTTTTGTTTTATTTCTTTACAAATTTAGATTCTATTTCATATTTTTTGCGCATTTCTTATTCTTACGATAATATTTTCTTTACAATTTTCAAAATTTATTTTATCTTTTAGATCTAATAGACCTTACGTAAATCCTTTTCTCTTTAATAATCAAGAGAAGTCTACTTTTCTTCTCCTGTCACAATCACATCTAGGACATAATTTATAAATTTGGTCACGGTCGGAGCTTAATAATATATCTGTGATTTGGTCCCAGACCAAATTTAGGTTTAGGCCTAATTTGTTAAAGCGTTTTAAGGATTCGATCAGTAGATCTACAGTAGCACTTTAGACTTTAAATAGCGCTAATGATATCTTGAAATGTCATTTTATGCTGATTAAATAACTTACCTTTTGAGATAAGGAAATTAGAGAACTGTTTGTTGCGGTTCGTAAAACTTCAATTGATCTAAGCTAGCGTTGTAATATTAGATAGGGCTAACTGCTCAGTCTAATTTACAATTTTTTTTTCTTAACCTCAAAAATGCTCGCAGTAGTATAGTTATTAACGTTCAAATACTAAATGCGCGAAGCTATACTGATTTACAGCAATACAATCTAAAAATAGTACGGCGTTTTTCCAATAGTGACGTCAAAACACTAAACCAATCGCAGCGCAACACATTCCCAAATTAACACGCTATACATTTCTTACAAACATTTCATCAGTAGTTAAATTTCAAGCGAATTTATTTCACTACATTTTTATGAAGACTAATTACGTAGATAATCCGCAGAAAAAAGCATGAGATAGGAATTTTTTTGTTGCAAAAAAATTGGCTACGGTATCACCGCGGATAAATATAGATTCACCCCCTGAAGAAATATTGGACTAGCCCATCCATACACGGTAAACGGCAGTGTTGATTATCTTTCTCTGCGTTCGAGAGGGTGTACAAGATCGAGGCCTTCTAGCCTAACCCCTCTATTAATATTCTTTCGTATTGGCAAGGATTATAAACCCAGGGTATAGGTTGTGTATTAGGGTCCAATTTCATGTGTTTATGATTCAATTGTGATATTTTTGGATTAAATTTTGATCTCCATTAAAAATGGAGCAAGCACATATAAAATCTGTGGAAGAAGTTTGTGCTTATTTTGGTGTTGATGAGGAGGCTGGTTTGAATGACGAACAAATTAAAAAGAATAGAGAAAAATATGGACCTAATGGTAAGTTCTTTCATTTAACTTTTACCTCATTATTGTGTTGAAAGAACTTACTAGAAGTTCATGCGTGAATTGGATTTTAACGTGCCACATAAACATATCTCACGAGTGGATATTTTACCAATGTGTGATGTTTCTTTTGATTTCTATGTAAATTTATGTCAATTTTATTGAAAAATTAATAATTGATATTTTCTTTTCCTTTCGTTTCAGAATTGCCGGCAGAAGAGGGTAAGTCTGTTAAATTTTACTAGTTTTCGCGATCTAATTTTATTTTGAAATGGTCGAAATGTGACTTCCGGTTGTCATTTCTGTTTTATAATCTACTTTCATTTTCCTATTTTCTTGCAGGTAAACCTCTATGGGAACTTATTTTAGAACAGTTTGATGATTTGTTAGTGAAGATTTTATTATTAGCAGCATGTATCTCATTTGTAAGTATTTTACAATGTTTTCTTATAAAGTATAATATTTGTTAAACTTTAATAGTCCAACTTATTGTACTGCACAACAGGATATTGTGCTGGCAATATCTCACCTCTATAATATCTCGCCTCTTAAAGCGAGATTCTGCCCCAGAATGAAAATTTCATTGAATCAAGCTTTGGCATGTCAATATATTTTGACTAAAACTTTACATGAAACACAACCTGTCAGTTCAGTCTCACTTTATTAAATAACAGGAATTTGCATCTAAGGTAAGTTTTGGATTTTATGATATCATCCAAGCAATGTCAAACTATACCAGATGGTACGGATGGTAAAAGACTCGCACCACTATAAGTTGAAAATATCCCACACAATTCTGGCCACAGCATTGACCTTGGCAGTTTTGGGACAGAAGGTTAAATCATAGCTCATTTTCTGCACTATCCCATGAACTCAGAAGGCAATTGGGACATTCTTTACAATTGACTTGCAATTACACACAACACTACTATCTGTATAGCTGGGTATATGTACATGAATGTCATGTTACAATGTATTATGTATCATGTGTTTTTGGTTGTTTTTTTTCTCTTAGAAAATATGACTGAAAACTTTGCATTTGAGAATATTTATCCTCCATATAATATTCGAGTGATAACCTGGTGTTAATATAAAATTCCATTCTGGTGAGATGTGAACAAATTTTTGTTAAAGGGTTCTAAGCAAACTGGCCAGTAGAACAATATTCATAGAAAGATATCAGAGCTCTCGATTGACACGGGGATCCGGGTTTTGACTCGTGAAAATTGGGAAATGCACATATTTGACACGTGATAAAATCTGCTCAAGAGTCAATTTGCCACATGGGATTTTCAGCTATGCAATAATAATTACCTTAAATCCACCCCTAATTATCAAATCCTACATGTGTTCAAATCACACTCATAAAAAATGTCAACAGGCAGTATAAGCCATGTATAAATGTTTTACACACGGCAATTGTTTATACCCTGTGCACTGAAGCGCGACAATTCAGTGGCTGCAATTTGACAGCGCTAAAAATAGCTCTACACAACTGATAAGAATTACATACTTGAGGTGTCAATTATTGATTGCTTTTAAAGGTTTATAATACGTCTTTGATTTACTTGGAGTACCTGTGCTACCTGGTACATTTTGGTATTTAAAATTAATATGATATAGCATACCAGTAAAGATATTTTTTTATATTTTATACATTTAATCAGAAAAGCTGCTGCTTATTTTATTCTTTCACAGAAATTCATGTTTTTGTTTTATTTGTTTTTTGTTTTGTTTTTTAGGTGGAGGGGGTATAGACATTTATAATTAGGCATTTTTTTCTGTCAATTTAGACTTTGGAATCTCCAAAAATGACCTCCAATACAGTTATTTTTGTAACATAAAATTGATTCATGTAGTCAAATGACACTAGAAAAAAATTATTTGACTCATGAAAATTTTAGCCAAAGAGTCTTTGACTCGTGAAATTCTGACCCTACTGAGAGCCCTGAAGATATGATAATAGAACCACAGTTAAGAGTTAACATTTGTATAGGTACAAATAATTATATACCTGAGTCATGTATATCTTTACCTTGTGACATAGTTGGCAAAGATTTTTGTATTGTCCTGTCTTGTCCAATTTCTAGCATCATATAATTGGTAACATATTTTGTGATCAACTGTCTTGCTGCGTAAGAGTAAGACTGAGAAATAAATCAATTTATATATGTAAGCTTTATATAGTTTTATTCTTTAAATAGCACTTGAGCTTTTCACCCATCAACTTAAGCCTTAAGGTCAGACCTTCAGACTCTTCAGTTAAGTGCTGTCTTTAGCATGAAGTAATATTCGAAATCTTCATGGAGACAAGTCAAGGTTATACTTACATGTATAGCAGTAGCTAGTGTAAATATGATATAACGAGAAATATGATACTACAACAAGAAATATGAACAAATCTTCCTATATTGTCACAAAAATGATTGATCACGCTTATATTACAATAATGAAAACAGTTTGGAAATAAGACCATCATAAACTTTGCATTTCCATATTTTTCAGTTTGTTTCTATCGATTTTCAAATTTAGGTTCTACTTGGAAAAAGAATTGCTTTTTGAATCTTGAGTTTTACTCCTGTCAGCCTTGCATTCATTCAATTTTATCTTCAACCTAGAAGAAATCTCCTTAACGTTCTTATAAAATTATCATTGTATTGAATAGGAAGTTTAGAAATGTCCTAGATATATAAATGATATTAAGATAAATAGTACAATTCTTAGAAATTTTCAGGAATAAACCGAGCATAAAACGATGAGTTTATTGTGTAAGTGACAGGAGATAAACTGTATGGCAGTGTAATAAGCTTTTTTCTCATTTATCATAGAAGAAAGATAGAAGATTACAATGAAAGTAGGTTAAATACAGATAAAATCAGGAAATAAGTAGCCGAGTTAATTAAGAAAGGAAATAACGTGTTGATTAAAAGCTGCACAAGGTATGTTTTAAGTTGATTAATTTGGTTCCTGTCAACTGGAAGATACTTTAGTTATCAGTACATTGTAATTAGGTGCAAAAATGATGAAAGTTTCATTCTACATTATTTTACATGAAAGCTGCTTCTTCTATGTAATTTCACTTTTATTTGTGTTGGAACTGATACTGTTTCTGGTAGATTTCTTCAGACAAGATTGAAGTTATATTTATGCCTAAGATATAAATTTGTAAATAAGATAGGGGTGGCTTTTGTTATAACACAGCCTTCTTTCTATGTTTGGTATTTACTACCCGTATTTAAGTATTTATTACCTGGGAACTTAAAGGGCCTCAAGGTGTTATGAACAAATGTATGTTGTTAAAACATCATTTTGTTTATACAATATATCTAATGACACTTGCCAAAAGCTATTTGTTGCATAATTTAAATTATTACATAATGTCAATCAACATTGTGTCGAAAAATTTAATGGGATAATTTGTAGGACTAAAATTATTAACCTTGCCATTGAGGCATATATAAAATTCAAAGACAATGTACAGTACTTGTAAAATCTAGTTCTTTTTTTTACTCTAATCGCATTGTAGTGATTCCCTCGCTGGTAGGAGGTTTGACCCTAAATGCTGGGGATTTTAACTTAAAATTCTTCGTCAGATTCAGAAATTTATCCAGCTGGGTATTCTTAGTGGAGGATTTTTGGATAAGAGGGTCTAGTTTGACTAATTTTTAATCAAAATTTATATAGTGTAAGATGATCTTCCAGTCAATTTTTTTTGCTGATTAGGTACATGTATATCTATTTGTCTTTGTACTACAATATAGATACATGTAACATTTAATTCTTTTTAAGGATACATACTAGTTATGATGTAGGGATGTTATTTGGAGGCATTTTGCTTGGGACCCTCAAGTTTTTGTTTGTTTTGCCCCCGTCTGTTCTTATGTGATATTCTAATCATATAAAATATTTCATGCAAATACTAAGTGGCAATACTGACTGCCATTACATGTACTTTCTATGAGTTATTTCCATTTATTCTGTGAAATTCAGAAAAGTTATATTGAACCATTTATAGGACTGGTCTAAATGTATACATGTAAATTATATACCATTTATGTAATTTGACATTTGTGAAATAATGCATGATTTATGATGTATGGTTATTAAGATTGATTAAGTTAATAGAATAAGAAATAATAACACTAGAGGTTTATAATAGTGCATCAATACAAAAACGTACATGTGTCTAATATTGTACAGTTAACGGACACTAAAAATAAGTAATTACTACCATTCCAGTCTCACCTATCAGAGGATAATTCCCAGAGCCTAGGTGTTGGAAATACCTGGTAAAATGCCGACATTAATATACAGTATATATATCTTAATATTCATTACACCTCTTCCTAAATGCCATTGTCTTCTACATGGAAGATTCCAAATGGAACATAAAAAACAGGAGTAATTAATAACAGCTGCTTGTGGCTTTATCATAACAGACAATGTTCTGTCAAATTGAAACAGCAACGATTCAACTGCTGCTAAAAACAGTGTAAGTTGTGCCTGCGGTTTAGCACTCGTTACATCTCTTTGCCGTTTTCCCTCGTTACCTTTCACAAGCTTTTGCCAAAAAAACATAACGCAAGTCAGAGAGGTACGTACATGTCTACTTGAAGGAAATACAGCTGAATCAGATACTAGTAGTATTTATACAGCTACATACCTGGTTTCTAGTGGAAAATATAACAGCAAAGCGTGCAAAGTACGTGCTTTGTGTTTTTCACCTTCAGAAAACCTTGATCAGTGATATAATATGCTGTACTGCATACATTCACGGTGGAAACATTACTTGTTTTGCAGGCAATATGGCAATATGTTCAATGCAATGGTTGCAGAGTAAGATTTAAGTGGAATTGCTCACTTGGGGGAAGACTAAATGCATGTTATTTATTGAGAATAGCTTGTTAAAATGTCATGTCTAAAGAAACTTAAATGCTTAGACAGATGGATAAGTAGTATCAAAAGATGGAAAAGCTGAATTGATTGATCTGAAATCCAGATTAATCTAAATTACAATGTACCTAACTAGAAAATCTTTGTAGGAATTTTTTTTTAATGGGGAAGAGAGGTGGATTCAAATAAATGTTAATTGTAATTTGTATTTCTCTGAAATTGAATAGATTCTTGTTGAGGGAATGAGTTTAATAATCAAATCAATAATATTAGCTGAATATTAGTTTAAGTGATAGATGTATTAATTTTGGTATCCCCGGAGAATTTTGTCTTAAATTGTACTTGGTCACACAAAAACCCATATCACTCAGTAACATGTACCCAAGTCGTTGTTGTTAACTTTTCATCATACATCTGTTAACTTTTCATCATACATCTCACACCGAATGAACACTCACTTCTTGTTCTTCGTTAGTGGTTGAGTTTTCAGCCTAAACCACCAGGTTTCTCTAAGAACCCTGAATATCATCAA